AGCATGCAACTAAATTTGATAACAAAATAAAACACGATTTAAAACAAATCGCGAAATATAAAAAACATCGGTGCGAACGTTAAGGTAGACAGATTTATAGATAAACAAAATGTTGTATTCAATGCGAACACAGATAACAACAAATCTTAATATCTGTTGAAAATTTTTTACAGTTTTTGTGAAACCTACAGAAAACTAAACTTCGAGAGAATGCGTCCAAGTCAGAATTTCAGGAGTAGCATAATTGTAGAGTTATTTATGCGCGGTAGTAGTATGGTTGTAGCACGAAAGGGTCAGCTCGATTGGGGAAGGACCACGCTCTCAGAGAATACCAGCGTGAAATAGCAGCTTGATGCTGCTGTGTTTCGTGTGGTGAGTGTAGAGAACCAAAGACCCGTTTTACTGGAATCTAAGCATTCCATCTTAGTTCTTGGGGTTCATCTGAATTTTGATTCTTAATCGAGGTTAAATGTTGATGTCCATGGGCCACAGTATCTACTTGCCATCAGTGGACTATGTGCTCGTTTGTCACCCTAATTCCAAAAAGGCTAAAAGTTTATTTATTAAAATATTGTTACCAAGTTTAAAATTATTTTAAATTTTATTTTACATACTTAACACGTTTACTGCGGCAAGTAAAATCATAATACTTCATCTAGTGCGGCGGCGGGCCAAAATGCGCCCCCAATGATGTTTCCGCCAGTGCGTGAGTGGTCGATCTAGACCCACCAGCACTAGGATAGATTAAATTGCTATAACTTTGTGGAAACATAATGTATACATTTTTTTTTTATATTGTTAGAATGAGCTTGAACCCAACGTTCATAGGTTTGATTCGCCCCGGGATCTGCCAAACAAGAAATGAGAAATAAAGCAGGAAAAGCGGCCGGCCGATATCGACCTGAACCGCACTAGAAAGTATTTTTAGTAGTGACGGGACAGAGAAAAATAAGGGGATATCGAAAATAAAACAGAATTATCGTAAAAGAACTGTAAAATGTTTTTATTTACTTATGCCTATCTTGGAAACATGTTACGCAAAGGTTTTGGTTGCATTTCCTGCAATATTTCTTTATTTTCTTTACTTTTTTTTTGCTTCGGTACTATTAAAGATTTTCCGCAGTCTGTCGTAGCACCCTGCACAATTTCTTCGTTTAGCGCTCATTTCAAGAACATGGTCATTGTCCTTAGGTTTTACTTGATTTTCTGAAATGAATTTTTTTGCTTAATTCCGTGTGATTTATTAAACATTGAGTTTTACCACAGAACTCGCGAAATTGAACAACTTTCCCCAGAGAACATAGGTCGAAATATGAAAAAAAAAAATTGGCCTTCCCCTTACAAAATTGACAACCAGCTGATTGATTTACTACTACGGGAGGTCCAACATTTTTTTTTCATACTTCGACCTATATTCTTTGGGGAAAGTTGTTCAGTTTCATGAGCACATTCACCTCCTTCAGGGTTGATACCCCCCTTCCGTTACACGGTGTATAAGGTCATTTTAAATTAAGTGAAAATATTTTTTGCGAATCTCAGAACAAAAATTGTTCTGTAACATGGGCTGAGTTACCCCACGGGAGGTTTTGCGCATTTGGAATTACATGTTGTATAGGTGTAGGGTTGTCCTTCAAGGAGATAACTCAGTATCGCTTATACAACAACTTTCCTTATGGGACCCATGTTGAAATCTTAAAAAAATATTCTCACTTTTCATACAAAAAAAATCAGATAGTTTATTCCTCAAATACAATTTTTAATCAGTTGATCGGATCGGTTAGTATGGGAAGCCAAAAATTTTTTTCGAGTTTACGACATGATAGGGAAATTTGTTGTATAAACGATACTGAGTTACCTCCTTGAAGGACAGCGGTGATAACCCTAACAGCCTGTATATATAGGTATAAAATTATGTATATGGTGTATAATATAGTGGTAACAGGACCTAATGTCTATTTTGTGCAATCAAGTCACAGATTACCTCCTAATAGATACCGCATCATGGAATATTTGTTCTGTTTCGATTTCACCAAATTTCGGGTTGCGGGGGACGTATCAAATGAGCTGTGATTGGGTGATTCAAGGTTGAACTTAGAATGCTCCGAACCATAGTGATGGGACAAGGTTGGGATGTTGATCGATAAATTTGGGATTTATTGATTATTGATAAATAAATGAATTGATCAATTTTTATTTGAAATTTATTAAAAAATAAAACAGTGTATATACATAAAAGAATATATATATATATATATATATATATATATATATATATATATATATATATATATATATATATATATATTTGTACATGTAATCTAACGATTTCTTAAATTTACGCGAACACTACACATTGAATAAAACTATATAATTATATGGATTTTAGTGTTTAATTAATTTATGGTCACGGGGGAGAGGGGAACTTAAATATTTGACATCTCAATATCATAGTTAGCTTGGCTATCTTCACTTTTAGTATATTGATTTTTGGTCCCGTCATCATCTAAATAAAACGAGCTTACAGTATCTTGAAGTCTTGCAGTGGTATGCTTGGTTTTGGATAGATTTTGTTAATTATAGGATCCCAAGCAGATGGCAGCATCCATCCACCGACTGTGACCGGCTTCACTCGGTTGCTATGACGTAGGCTTGGGACCCAAAACTTGTTGTCTTGCAGTACTTGATTGACATGTTGAAGCTCGGCAGCCAGATGTATTCTGTCACAGATCCTTTGTGCTCTCTGAAACAAATATTTACCCACAGTAGCAAACTATGAAGAATGATGGTGAGATTCACCATTTAAATATCGGTTGGTATAGGCCTTTTTCCTATACATAGTATGACCAATAGTGTTATCAGGATTTCGGATTACTAAAACATCTAGGAAACCTAAAGTATTATTCACTTCTAACTCCATCGTGATTTGTATTTTGAAGCTTATGGAGTTAAGGTGGTTTAAAATTGCAGTTGCTTTGTCAGACGGTAAAATTTTGAAAGTGTCGTCTACGTACCGTTTGTAGAATCTTGGATTTATAGGAGCAGTAAGAAGGGTTTCATCTCAAAATCCTCCATGATATAAGTCGGCGACTATAGGAAATACAGGTGAGCCCATCGCTACACCATCAACTTGCTTGTAGAACTCTTCCTTTTACAGCAGATATTCAGATGTGAAGCAGTGTTTGAGTAATACTGCATATTCTGCAGGCATGTTGTTATCTTGTAGCTTCCTAGTTACAATTGAGAAGCAGTCTTCAATACGTAGGCATGTGAATAGTGACTGAACACCAAAACTGACCATAGTTTTATTGTCAGTGATGTAGGTCTTTTATCTCACTAACAAAATGGTGTGAATCCTTTGTGTGTATTCTGGTATGTCCTTTCGGTGGTGACAGTATTTTTGCCTAGTGTTGCACCTAAAAGTAGTATTATTAATTAAAAACCTTACGGTACGTGCTACAAATTTAGACGTACTTAATAATAATAGTAATAATAATAGGATATTACTAAAGTTCATGTAACACTAGAATAACATTAATCACATTATAACTTTCACTTGATTTATGGTTTATAAATCCGTTAAAAATAGTTTACGCACTTAACGCTATTACTTGTTGTGTAATTTTCACCATTTATACTTTTAATTATACTTTTTAAAAAATGTAAAAGTCCATACTAAAACTGGCAAGTATAGAGTTGGTATAGAGGAATCCAACAGCCCTCTACGGTTTTTCATAATATGAAGATTGTCTTTTGTGAAATGTCTTGAGCATAGCACATTATTTTTGGTGGGAAACCGTTGGTCCCTTCGACATGTAGCGTCGATCCACATCTTTTCCTTTCGAGGCATTTAGGAAACCTATAACATATAGGTACCACAATTATACGCCACTATTTGTATAAAATAATGACTACAAAAGAAAAGTAAACGATGACCAAACAAATATCGACTTATAAATCACAACACTATCGATACACGTGCTGTCGTTAGACAAAGACAACTATTTTAATTTACGTAATGAGTGAAAGGGACATATTAAAAAAGACATCAACGGGTGCTCAAATGATATCACTTTGCAACATTTAATGTCCAGTGTAAGTTGAACTCCGGTGTATTTGAAATAGGTTAACGTGATAAGAATAAAATTTACTTACCGATGAAATATTATGCCATCTTTTTGATAACTGGATGTCTTAGCTGACTTGCCACACCATTTCACTACATATGAAGCCATTTGTAATGTATTTTGGATACCAAAATTATTTTTAAATTTTCAAAAACTCGGAGGTGCCTACGGGTCACAACCTTGGACGACAATGATATCGTGATTCTTAGCGTCACTTCATATGCTAGCTACAGCAAGTATGTGTTGCGCGCGTTTGTGGCCCTGTATGCGGAATCTATTAGGAGGTAATCTGTGAATCAAGTAGACCACTTAAAGCGTTATTTTTATGATAAATGCAGCTGAGTGCCCCGAAATAAGAACTCGCATTATGTGTTATTGAGTAAGTAAACAGTGCCATAACATACCATAATAGAACAGTAGTGCAAACAACGCCAAACATTGCTCGCAGAAAATAGCAGAGTCAGCACAAAGCTCATGCACGAAGACCATGCGCAGCCACCGTAACACTGGTAATATGTTCAAAATAATGACAATAGTTACCTGTTGCAGATGTAGAACGTCTGACGATGTTGAAACACGTAAATGTAGGAATCGCCTTCAACAATAATCTACATATGCCTACAGTGATGTTACACGTCATTATACTTACTATCAGCGCATATACTTTTTCCAGTTAATGATTGCATTAATGCCTCTGTAAATTCTTTTTTTGAAACCTTCTTATCACATTTCACGTTGTATGTGATCCACGCGTTTACTAACGCCATGCCTAACAAATATTCCATACCCACTTTTCTGAACCATTTGAGCCCTCTTTTTAATGTAGAATAGTATGAAGACATTTGGTCGCTGAAGTCAACTCCTTTTTTGTTGTTATTATACGTTAAGACACATGTAGGCTTTTTTTATATCTTCATTCGTCTTCCTATTTTTTTTGCCAGTGTTGACAAGCACATCTTTGTCCTCTTTGAGAGTAGATATCATTAGAAGTTGCCTTTTGTCAACCCATTTAATAACTTTAACGCCATTTTTATTCATAGCTCCTTTGATTTCACCCTTCTTCAACTTTAGTAACACTATCTCCTTAGGTAGCCCCCTTCGCTTCGAATTTAGGGTACCGCAATAACGGGTTTTTTGAGATAAGAGTTCTTCCGCCAATTCAATTGAAGAGTAGAAATTGTCTGCAATTACTACACGACATTTGTTCTCCAGCCCTTGAATGAGTTTCAGTACGGTGACTTTACCATGATTTTGTTCACGGCCATTTTCTCCCTTTCCAGAATAAATTATTGAATTATATATATACCCTTCTGGAGTGCATAACTTGTAAATTTTAACACCATACTTGTGTGATTTGTTTTTAATGTATTGTTTGAATTTCAGCCTGCCACGCCATGGTATCATTGATTCATCTATAACAATGAATTTACCTGGCGTTAATACTTCTTGGAATCTGCTGTTGAGCATATTAGCCAAATCATGAATTTTCTTCAACTTATTTGTATTGTGGATGGCTGACGAATCATCACAAAAATGCCAGAATTTCAGTAATAGCAGAAATCTATCCCGAGTCATTACAGATACAATATATTCGTTTCGATATATTGATTTTTTTGACCAATAGTCATTTATATGAGACACTTTGTTCAGACCCATTGCGAGTAGTACCCCTAGAAACTTCCGCATTTCTATATTATTCGTAGCTTTCCATGATAATAACCGAGATTTTGTTTTTATTTCGTTATTATTTTGCTTTTCTGCGATGTGTTTTAACGCATATTTATTAGTTTCTGTAACCATTTTATCTATTATTTCATCAGTTACAAATAAGGAAAAAATACCTGCAGGAGATATATCTTCTATAGGAATATTAAAAGTGCTTTCATTTAAAGTACACGCATCCAACTCAGGTGTCAAATCTGTGACAGCATCCCATTCATTGACACTATTATCCTGTGCATCTTCCTCTTCCTCTGAAACATCATTATCTATATCCGATACAACTTCACTTGCAGAATATTCATCACTCTCATCATCGCCTGTGTCACCACTTTCCTGCTCTTCATCTTCCTCCTCAGTATTTTCCGTTTCTTCCTCTCTCTCTGCATCTTCATCTTCCTCTTCAGCATTTCCTGTTTCTTCCTCTCTCTCTTCTACATCTTCTACATCAACATTTTCTGTTTCTTTCTCTCTCTCTGCTTCGTCATTAAGTGTTTCTTTCTGTCTTTCATTTTCTTCAAACTGTTTATTACGTTCTTCGTCATAAAAAACACAATTTTCATTACTTTCAGTTAACCCTTGCGACATACTGTCTTCAAAAGAATAAGTGAATGTAAGTTTTGTCTTTGGATCTTTCCTTTCTATTTCATTTTTCTTTTTTATCTTTTTTATTATCGTTTCTTAGATTTATCAAGTCATGATATTCGCTTTCATCTATTTTGATGCCGTGCATAAGCTTAGAAGCTGATATATTGTTTAGCGAAGGACTGCATCCTCTTGAGCTATACATACTAAATCGTTCCAATGACGATGAGCTAGGCGAAGACAATCCTTTTGATGTCTGTGGTGTAGGTTTATTTTTACATTCTGTAATGCAAAAAAAGGTAAGTGGAATAAAATTAATCTACACTAATATTATAAATGTGAAAGTTTAGATGTATGGATGTTTGCTACTCTTTCACGCAAAAACTACTGAACGGATTTAGATGAAACTTTACAGTAATATAAGTAAAAAATTAAATAAAATATGAAATTTTGAGAGATAGAGAGAGAGAGATATCTGTCAATAGATGCTCAGCAGAAACTATAACACTAAAAGCAAATAAATTATTTAAATTAAGACATACCTGTTTTAGTTACATGTGAAAACGAGACTGGTTTAAGAATATGAAATTTTCTTCCACTGGGGCTACTGAAAACGTCCGCTGTTGACAAAAAAAGTTTACTGTGACTCTTATTGTGTCTTATTTAGCGAGAAAAAGGAGTGTTGGGGTAAAAGCGGACGGATTATGGTTCAATTGAAAAGATGTTCAAAAAAACTAAATTTTCTCGACATCAACTGTTGAAAATAAATCATTAAAATGCAATGAAAGTGTTAAGAATAATCTTTTTCATAAAGGATGGTATTACATAAAAAATCCCCACGTCATTATGCGTCTAAGGCTGATATGTTGATATGTGTAGGTAGTAAATAAAACTTACCGCTTGTGCTTTGTTTTCCGTGCACATTTGTTTCCAAATCCTTTTTAGTTTTCTTAGTGGAAAATATTTCTTCACTGCTGTCACTATCACTGTCAATAACTGCAGGGCGAATTACTCTATTTTCCAAAATTTGTATTTTTCTTTTATTGCTTGCCATTGTTGATAATATCGGACGCTACGACAGAGCTGTTAGATAGCACAACACTAACTGGCGGGGCGCGCGCTCTGTGCGGTATCGGGTCGCCAGCTGCCTGGTGGGAGGGCGGGCCGAAATAGGCCCACTGCCGCACTCGCGGATGTTTTTTCACCGTCAGTGCGTGGTAGGTCAATAAAAGCCTGCCGTTATGTTTTGATGGGGAACAACTACGGCATTTACCGCAAGATGAAATATATATTTGTCTCTGTCGAATTTTTACAAACACCTGAGATAATCGTTTCGCACAAGCGAGAGGGACATAGTTTTCTTCGTCCGCACCAGTTCAAGTACCGCGGCAGGCCGATATCGGCCTGTTACGCAGTAAACGTGTTAATATGGTAGGTACATTAAATATTAAACAGACCCGAAGTTTTCAATTCAACATTTCACACGAGTGGCTTGTGATAATTAAAGTATGCATAATATTTTAATATTGATTTATTTTAATATATTATTTTCAACCACAAGTGCGGCATAAAATGTACGATAAAAGTTTAATTTTATAGCAAAAAATACAATCCTTATTTTCAGACATGTAGAGTCAAATCTTAGGCTAGTAGAGTGTAATAAATCAATAGGTCAGTTATGAAATCGTGGAATGTTAGGAATAGATTGGATATAATAATTTTATTCAATTTGGTTAACTTTATTTATTTAATTATTATTATTATTGTTTATAATATTTCACCATTTTTAACGTTTTTTTTTGTCAAACATTGAAAAATTATTTCGCAGACACTATTTACCGACGGCAGCGCGGCGATAAATTCTTCAAACTTTCAGTTTTGACGCCAAACCTTACCGTGAGTTTGCACTGACGAGATTTTCACAAAAAAAAAAAACATGTTTATTACACTGTTTTCCTATAATGTGTCGAATTGCGTTTGCATAGTCAAAAAACATGTTGTGGTAAAATATGTTTGACAGTTTATTGTACAATACATATATGGAGTGTAAAAGTACCAACTCCCATAGTAGAATAATTGAAAAAGTGGTCATCTGTAAGCAGTAAATAACAGTTCAAAAACTCTCCACAACAGCGCTGGAGTAGCTACTGGGATGATATGAACATAGCAGTTGCCGACTGTTTAAGTGCTGCTAAACTGCTCAGTAGCTCTAAAATCTAAAATAATTTTATTAAGTAAATATAACCTCGAAAAAGTCGTCTACCCCACTAATACTAATATTTTTCGGTGCGTTCTTTAAAATTTACTCCGTATCTATAGTGGCGCCACCCTTATTTAAAGGTTTTTATGGACACTTTTTAATACACAGTCTGTACTCCTTACTTCTACACTCACTGACCTCTGTATATATACTATATAAATACGCTGGACTGGCTATACCATAGAAAATGACTGTGCCAATTTGAAGCGCCGCTAAAGGATGTCTTTAAAAATAAAATAGACATAATATGTCAAATTCTGTTGTCTCATTTATATTGTCTTATTTAATAAGTCCGTATTTTGAACTTTTAAACTAAAAAACGAAAGTATTTTATGTTGTTTCATTGTGTATAATATTAGTTACATAATAAGAATTATTTTTACTAATAATGAGAGTGTGCGTAATCTGTAAAACTCTTTACCAAAAGGGATGTGGTATAACATTTCACAAGTAAGTGAATTTGCAGCAAATATTAAACAAATTAAAACCATTTGATAATATAAGTACTTAAAAATTTGTTACTAATCTTAATATTATATATAACAACATCTTTGGCTATATATTTCTGAGTTTTGATTAACAATAAAATTCAATAGGGTTGTCGAGTTCCTTGTCTATAATACTTATCGATGTTCTTTCCTACCCATTCTGTTAACAAACAAAGTCGCCAACAACAGTTGATTATCAAATATTTATTAATTAACAGGTTTCCAATTGAACCTAGACTAAAAATATGTCTTAAAAGCATAAATATTGTGAATTGGCGTCCGAAACAAAATGATCATATTTGTTCCTAACATTTCACAGACGACTGTTTTATTAGACATGAGAACTGCACCACTTTGAAAAAGTGCAGTATACCGACTATATATTCTGGTAGTACCAGTACCAGTAAGTATAAAAGTATTAGATTATTATTTCGAATGTTTTTTTTTATTTCTTCTTCCCTCATTTTCCACCAAACTCAAGGGCCATATCCAAGTGTCGAAAGGTCACCTGATGATGTCGAGCCACGTTGTATGTGTTTTAGTGGGCTGCGGCTAGAAGAGATTCCTCTCCCTGTACCGCTGTGGTCGAGGTGGAGTCGTAAGGCTTCCTTAGACTCTCGAATCGACTCGGAGTGTTAGTATGGCGATTGGCGAAGCGCCACTCGACTATCTTTTGCGACTTTGATGAGGCTGCACCACTTGATGCTTTCAAGTGCTCGTTTTTCCCTGGCTCCATTCACATATCGAGCTCAGGGAGTCCGTAGTGCAGGTGGAGTTAGAGTACTCGAAGGGCAGTGTGGCTTGCTTCTGGTGCGCCTTATCTGAGAATGAAATCGGGGAGGAGAAGTCAGCAACTAAGGAGGGGCCGCCATTTGGCGGCTGGCGGGGACGGGCCGCGGATGTGCATGAAAGCATTTCCGTAGAACTGCCAATTTGCGGCGGAGGTAGAACACCATGAGGTTTTAGTAAGTGCGAGTCTAGAGATTTAATTATCTCTCGAGTCTCAAAATTTAATTTGTGCCTTAACTTCATAGTAGCCCTACTTTAGTTTCCTTCTTATTTACAAATTCTTGCCGTCGTTTATATTCATGGTTTTTTGCAGCTTCCTCTCGCGCAACATCCACCGACAAAGATAATCAAGTGTTCGATCAAGAACCCATGGATTGCGATACGTCAAGTCCCCCAGAATATGTGGCACTGCCGAAGCTGGAAAGCTTAGGAGCTAGTGCAATATGCACCGATAAAGGTGATCCATATTTTGATCTCAAAACTATGGAAGTAGAACTAGTACAGAAGCTGCCCGAGATTGAGAGCCTGGAAAGTTCTTTTTTTATGTTGGTATCTTGATTTTTCTTTTATTTTTTATTACAAGCAAACCGTGGCAAATGTCATGTGTAATTTTCTTAATTGTTGTTTTTTCGTGTTATTTATCAATATAAATTTGGTATATAGGTCGGAACACAAGTTGCTACCGGGAACAGACTGTCGCTTCAAAGAAGGTTTTGTCTATTTCTGAAGTACGTAATAATATCAAGCATGATCATCGTTATGAATACTCCTCTAGATCATCCAAAAAGACATGGGAACGAGTTCAGAAATCTTTGAAAAACACACGAGATGGTGTAAAAGTCCTATCGCAACATGTGAAACGATTAAAGGTCAGCATTACTTGTTTAAGAAATGTAATTATTGAATTAAAGAGAAAAAAATTAATTAACGATGACTGTGCAAATCTATTAAATCTGTATGACGACTTCAAGCCACAATTGTTTAAAAGAATGATATTAAATACTGGTAAAAATGTCAGCCGTGCTAAGTATCCCCCGGAATTAAGAGCTTTTGCTATTACTCTCCATTTTTACTCACCAAAAGCATACGCTTTCGTCAGAAAAAAGTTTAATATAGCTTTACCACATCCTCGGGTAATACGCTCCTGGTATAGCTCTGTAGATTCGAATCCGGGGTTCTTAGTTGAAAGTTTTAATGCTTTACTACTTAAAAGTAACCAAGCAAAACAGAATGGAGAAACACTAATTTGTGCTTTGATCATAGACGAAATGAGCTTAAAGAAAAGTTTCTCTCGCAGCCGTGATAGTGTAACGCGTGGTTACGTTGATTTTGGCATTGATTCCGAATGTAATGATTTACCTGATTGTAAGGACGCATTGGTTTTTATGATAGTTCCGTTAAAAGGCAATTGGAAAATACCAATCGACTATTTTGTTATTAATGGGTTGCCTGCTGAAAGAAAGAGTGCCTTAATTAAACAGGCTTTAATTCGCTTGCACGATGTTTCAGTAAAAATATGCTCCATAACTTTATATGGACCACCCGAGCATTTTTTTACGGTAGCTAAACTAGGGGTAGTGTTGAAAGCAGGAAACGACACTAAACCTTTCTTTTATCACCCAATAGATAAGAACCACAAGATTTATGTAGTATTTGAACCCTGTCATATGCTTAAAAATATAAGAAATTGTTTAAATGACTTAAAGGTTTTAAAGGGTCACGAAGGGAATTTAATAAAGTGGGAATATATTGAAAATTTGGCAGCATTGCAGGAATCTGAGGGCCTGAGGTTAGGAAATCGACTAAGGAGTTCGCATATACATTATAAAAAAATGATAATGAAATCTTGCAGCTTAAACACTTAGTAGCAGTGTAGCAGATGCAATTGAATTTTGCGACCCTATTTTACAACTTCCAGAATTTAACAGTAAGCTGTAACAACTTTTACATAAGGAAATATTAAAATAGTTTACTTCCTTTTCAGCTTAAGAGTAGTTCCTAAAAAACTGTATCTGCGACTGATTATCGCTGCTGGTAATAAGAAGTTGTTTAGTTTGTTGTTTCCTCGCTTGAAGGCTAAGTATAGCCATTCAGAGAGGACACGTAGCCAGCATTCTTGGGACTATACCACGGAAAGTAGGACTGTATGATAATTTCAGTTATTTTTTATTTTATTTTTTGATATCGTTATTTTAATTTCGATAATGACGTTGTAAATAACTGATAACTATGTAATTCAAAGTTTATATTTTTTTTTGTATTATCTTGCTAGCTCGTAAAATTCGTTAAAAACTTGGAACAGTTATATTGTATAATTAGGAATGATAATATAATCATTGAAATAGAATGATATATAACTTTCTGTAACTTTCAAATCGTCAGTATAATACGCATGTAATGCGTAGTGTCAGTTAATTGTACCATGCGTATAATCTTCGCACAAGTGCAACCAATAAGTTGACAAAGTTTTACCGCAATCTGATGAACGGCATGGCATCGTAGAAAGTACGAGCAAAC